GCCTTTGGCTTAGTAGCTCGAGCGTCCGCCTCGGATGCGGAAGATCGTGGGTTCGATCCCCCGGGAGAGTCATATCAAGGACTTATAAAAATGGTACTAAGAGCTGCTTCGCTGGACGCTCACCATTAAAAGGTTAGTGTTAGGACTGGTCGAAATTGCCACACTGCAGATGTCGTAGCGATATGACAGAAAAATTGTTAGATGCACGTCAAAAATCCAAATTGCACACTCACACATATAATTCACGCATCTTTGATTGAAGATGGTAATTATCTGTCTGTATTTAACATTCATTCATTCATATCTTCAAAATCTGAGTTGATTTCACTCATGGCATTGTACTTCATCCATTGTACAAGGGAGAGAAAATGACAATTTTCCAATCCAGTAGAGCCTGATCGTGTTGAACGAAACATAGCATGCTTTTTGTTCAGATTTGTACAAGTTTGATAGACCGTCATATACAGCTTATAATTTCTTGGAAAATATTCAATGAATTTAATTTAGAGAAAGGCGAAAGACACTTATTTTTCCAAACTGACAGTTGGAATGGATTTGATCAAAACGATCCGATGTGGACACGAATACATGGAGCTGAATTGTTTCTTGGACCATGATGAAAGAATTGGAATACCATCAAAATGGCTGCAATAAAAATAATGGAAGAGTTTTATGGAATTTCACTTATTTCTGGACACGTATGTTCCGTTTTGTCAACCAGACGAATAACAAATCAACCACGTACAGCATGTGACTATGGTAATAACACGCTAAACACCGTAAAACGCATATATTCCTAACATAAGCAAGTCTCAACTATTTTTAATATAATTGCTTTATTACCATTAAACCTGTGTCTGTGTTGATATTTGTACACATAGACGTATTTATGAATGGTCATGAGGTATGTGATGCCAATAAATGTATAATCAATGGTTTCAAATGTAACCATTTAATGCTTGCCTCAACCAGCGTGCGTATGTGGAAAACCTTGCAAATAGCTTCCAGTACATTGATGGTGTCTTCAATACGATATACAGGCAACTATTATAGCTTATTACGTGCTGTATAATGACGCTAAAGCCAATGAAAAACACACTAGTTATAGATAGGATGCCACAAGTACTGTTTTTCAAACTTACCCGACGATTACTCGTTTCAAGTTTCTTAGGAATCAAAATGACCTGAAGTACTATTATACTAGGTAGATTACATAGTCCACCTATCCTCCACCCATTTCATAAGGAATTACAAATAATGTTGCGAGTGGTATTATTTATATCTGAGGACAAATAAATAGAAATATTACCTTTCCGTGCCCTTGGGCTACAAATAACAGGTGCTGAATCATGTACCTTATCCAATACCATCTCTAAATTAGACCCCACAAACTGAAATAAACGTTAAGGAAAATAATTATCCGCAACATTGCGATAAATGTTCATTTGATTTATAAATGATACAAACAACATAGGTTGAGCAAAACTATATATATATATATATATATATATATATATATATATATATATATATATATATATATATATATATATATATATATATATATATATATATATATATATATATATATATATATATATATATATATATATGTTACTTTCCACGCCATTGAGGTGATCTCATGAATCAAAATCTAACATTGAAAAACTGCATTTCTGGAGACTAGAAGCAACACAAAACATTTAAATCTGGTGATGGAAACAGAAAAAGATTTTATTTCATGGTATGTTTGATGAAGAAGTAGCAAAGAGGATTGCAAAATATATTTAATATGTACCAAGAGCCAACTGTTTTAGCTGTCCAATTTTCATCTTTGTCATTTTCAAAGTGTACTGATAAGACTATTAAATTAAATTAATTTATCCCGTTTCTTTATGAAATCGTTTCTGTCAGTCATGAACTAGTGATCCAGTTCGGTTTGCAAAATATAATACCATATACAGACCTATCGAGTCCTAGAAAACATTAGAATCCTGCTGGGCATATGATCTAAGGTACCTGATTCACTTCATTTCAACTAAAAACAGGAATGGGTGACTTGTTGTGGAGTGGTCAAGAAGATTTGTATCCCTGATTGGTTTTGGTCTGGTTAGTCTCAGACAAAAACCTTACTACATTAGAATTGCTGTGAGGTATTGTGAGGCATGAGAATCCTTATGCAAGGTGTTTCGTTTAATCCAGGTTTTTTCTGATGATAGTAGCTCCGTTACGACATTTCACTTTACGTTTAAATTATGTTCTTATTATTCCTAACTTTTCTAAACGTCGACCTTAAAGAAACTTTGGTATAATAACGAATTATTTAGACACTCTTTAATAACGATGACGTCATCTGTCTCATGCACAATCGACCCTAGAGATAATCTTTTATAATGCTGTTGAACTAGACATTGTCAATATTTTTGTTTATCGAGGAAGTTTTCCTTTTGTGCTTCACGTTTTAACCTTTAATGAAGCACAAAAACTGATGACCAGGAGTCTAATATTGTCTATTCCGTTGACAAATAAATGTATAAATTGGGCAACGAACCAAATAATGTAACATGCGAATTATTTTATATTTCATTCGCTCCGCATCTTAACGTGCAAAATCAACACTAATCAATGTGTGGCGGCTACTCATTAGCAGACTGAGTAATTGCAGTCCATACAACTGTCTCCTCAGGAGTATCCTTTCAAGAAATAAGAGAGGCTGATGCTCGTCTTTGTTCAGCACAACAGTATTGTGGTATCCTGTATCGTTAATTTGATATATTTAATGGCTATGATATAGTAGAACGTTTCCTGTTGCCAGTGGAAGGCAAGGTACTCTAGAATATGAAACTCTTGATTCAGTTGGCTAATGGCTAAAATAGTCCCACGTGGAAATTTATATCTACCTAATAATTTTGATCCATGATATCGTCGTATTAAAAAGTAACATGACAATTAAGGAAATTACACATAGATACGTTTCTATTATGCATGCCCAATTGCACAAAAATCCTAACGAACATGACAATACAAAGGTTGCTATGTGTAGGTTTGGTGTACATTATAGGACAATGAAGCACCATGAACGAAATAAATTATTCGATTATCCTAAATTGTTGACGTCCAAATAGACTCTAATTGTGTTGTTGTAGGGTTTAACGCCATTTTTCAGCACAAAATAGGCTATACATGACAGCCAGTATTGATGCTGGAGGAAGAACCCTGGAAAACCCCGGGAAGAACCACCGACCAACGAGAAGCTACCGGCAGGCTTTCTCCCTTACCCACTTTAGCCAAGTCTGGACTCGAACTCACGCAGACAGAGGTGAGATGGCAGTGATCCGTAACGGTTAGCGCTATAGACCACTCGGCCACTCGGGGCCATCTCTAATTGTGTTTTAACACGTGTGATTCTCTGAATAAGAAAACATGATGGCGAGTTATGTAAGGCTTAGATACACACACATTGTAATACTATGGTTTTATTTAACCCAAATTTTAAATTTCTATTTTTGCATGCCATATGCTAATATGTCTATTATAATGATCATTATATGTTTGCTAGGAGCAATTAGATTATTAATTAGCTTTGCTACGTGATTTCCAATTAATTCATCTTCATGTTCTTTAACATATTATCTTTACTGTATTTTACCAACTGATCATCAACAGATATATACACACATATGTGGTTAATATAAAATTAATAATTCCATTTTAAATATGAAGACAAGAATGGATAGTGTTAATAATAAAGATGATAAGTCGAAACAAAAAATTAATTTCTGAGGAGAACATATGCAATTTAGCAAACACTTTTCATCTAAATGTCTTATACAAATAGTTCGCAAACATGAGATCTTTAAAATATTTATTGACATTGGCCTCTAGCCTTAGAAAATTAAACGTTTAAATTGTAATTATATTGAAAATAGCTGAATAATATATCAAATATATGTTTAATGCAATACATTTTCAGTGAGAATCAAGTATGTCTAGTAAAATAGTTTTGAAGGTTGTACAGAATTCTCACTAAATCACCTCACCCAAAAATATCTGAAGACATCTCAACAATGTATCGCTGAATTTTACGTTAATTATATAATATAATGGACATAAATCTATTAAAAAGTAAACAAAGAGAAAAGCACAATGTAGTCGTGTGAAAATGACATGAATTAATATTTTTATGCAGATACGACAAAACCTGATTTTCCATATTTGATAACAATATTATTTTAAATCCTCCCTATGCGACGCTAACTTTCATGATATGTAAGGTTTCGATATTTGTTTAAAGCAAGAAGATGATGATAGCCATTTTTCGCATCTTTCTCAAGCAGAAAGTAAACCGAAAAGAAGATTGGAACGTTTTTCCCATTCTGCCACCTATCAAATTCACGAGAGGATAACTAATTACGATCCATCATTGGGAACCTCTTTGTGCTCCTATCGTTACGCATGTATTACTCATCTGTTTAGTAGTCACTAAACATAAATGTTCCCAATATCAGCAAAGAATTGATGTGATTATGATTTTTAATGCAGCTTTAGCCTTTTTTCAGTCACATCGCTACGATGTCTGCAATCTGGCAGTTTATTGTGATGTCTAGCACTGGAGCATAATGTCGTAGACATGTGGCATGATGTCCAACCCAGTCACATTATCCTGACACCAGGCCGACCAGTCCTAACACTAACCTCTTAATGCTGAGCGTCAAGCGAGGCAGCTGTTAGTACCACATTTGTAAGTCTTTGGTATGATTCGACCGGGGATAGACCCCACGACCTTCCCGCATCATCCGAGGCGGACGCTCTAACCAATAGGCCACCAGTGCGGTGCGCAAAGAAAAACTTAAGGAAAAAAAAACAATAACAAAACATCAACAACTAACTTAGACCTTATTAGCAGATTTCTCCAAATGTTATATTCGGAGTGTAAGAGAGAAATTAGTTATCCAGTGTCAGTATCTTATACAGATATGTCTGTCGTGTCTGTCTTCATCGCCCTCTCTATTTAAGAGATTATTTCAGCAGCACATAATTCAAAAAAGAGTGATATAATATGACTGAGATAT